GTAGACGGGTAGAGTGTTCACTACATTCTTCCAGTAGACGGGTAGAGTGTTCACTACATTCTTCCAGTAGACGGGTAGAGTGTTCACTACATTCTTCCAGTAGACGGGTAGAGTGTTCACTACATTCTTCCAGTAGACGGGTAGAGTTTTATATATATATGATCTTACATTTTTTCGAATTTTTCGAAGCGTACTACGTTTGTCCGAAAGAAAGGGATAATTTCCCTAGAATACTACAATTTTCAATAGAAAGTTAGGGTTTTTCCCTAGAATATCAGTAGAAAGGTTCCCTGAGATACGCACTTTCCCTTGTTATTTAAAGCATGTTTATGTTGTCTTAGAAAGTTAGGGTTTTTCCCTAGAATACCAGTAGAAAAGTTCCCTGAGATACGCACTTTCCCTTGTTATTTAAAGCATGTTTATGTTGTCTTATTTGTTATGTTCAGGCATACTTTCAGATTTGAATAAAAAATATAAATTTTCAAGAGTTCTGATTCATGTTTCCTCATTTTCCTTGCATTAAACCAGTTATTATTATTATTAATTTTATCTACAAACGATTATTCGTAATACCATTATGAGTTATCGCAGAACGAAGGAGACATGGATGGCAAGTAATATGTAGGTGTCTGTTGGCTTTATGCCGAGAGCTCCACCTTTTGTTGGAATTTACCGGAAGTGTATAAAATAATAGGGGTATTTAGTGAAGAGAGAGAGGAATACAACTTATTCAAAAATGATATGTCATGCTTAAAAAATTATTTTTTTTATTCTGCTTTTGGATCTCTAGCAGTTGCAAGATGACTCAGACTAAAGACATTTGGGAGCGTTCTGCGCTCTTCACCTTAATAGTAGATTTCTCTAGAAATAATTGTCCAAGGACTGACTCTAATTTCGTAATAGGCGCTAAGAAGAATGAATCTGTCGATTTGGACACCAGTTGTGACAACCTTAACATCTGTTAACAAATATCATGGTTGATTTCCATTTCTCACTTTGTTTTGTATTGTTTTATCCAAAATATTTATTAATTAGCAAGTATATCGACACGGATAATCTTTAGCTTAATAGTTTGTCGTGTAAACTTTTCCTTAAAAATGCACCCTAAATTTTGTAAGTTTTATTTTAATAGTTTCCCCTTGCACCACTTGCTTTTAGTTTATTGGACATATTTCGTTGTTTTATCAAAACAAATGAATTAACATGTGGTTTATGTTTCATAACAGGTTAGTTTGGATAGTACATGTTTGTTACCCTTACAATGTTTCAGGCTTACGTTACATAAGTTCTTATTCAATTTGTGCTGAGGAAATGAGGAGAAGCTTTTCTTGGAAATATTTTCTTTTAATCTTTCTAGTCAATTAAACAACTTGAGGAACATCGTATAACTTCCTCAAGGGCTTCAAAAACCCAAGGAATTATCAACAGAGCTGAATTGACACACTGTCCGCTTCCATCCCTATTATGTTCGTCCTCATGATCACTTATTCTCACGCCGTGTGATTGGTGGAGAGAATAGTGACGACACTGAATGAATACAGTAACGACTTATCCTTGTACAGTTTTTCAAGAAATGTCCAAGTACTTTTATATCAAAACACGATTTTGTTAAGCAAAATCATCTTTCCCTCAAAGTATTTGTATCTAAGTTTACATCACTTACCATCGTTATAATATTCTTCTAAATGTTGATGTAAGTAAACGTAAAATTACTGCGCTTACAGCAAAGACTCAACTAGTTCGTTAAGACTGTTTGTGAGGTTCACTCGCTCATTTACAACTACGTTCTAACTTGGTGACTATGTTGTACTGAATTAAAGTATATAACGCAACATGACGTATAAGATGGGGTTTTAGTGGAAAACTGACCTAGTGTGCAAAACTTAATTCCGTACAGTCAGTTATAAAGTTAAGTATCATCCTAATGCATGTTCTTTACAGACATCGCAGGCTTTCTTTGTGTTTGTTGGTCATAGGCATAGTACGATTTCTTTGTGCTTGTTTGGCTAGAGCACTGCAGAATTTTCTAGTGCTTGTTAGTCATAAGCACTGCAGAATATACTAGTTTGATGGGCAAAGTTATAAAAAAAACAAATTTCCAAGTGATGATTGGCCAGGCATGGATAATTTTCTCGTGCTTGTTAGCTATAATTATGACATCGTTTCCAGAGGACTATGTTGACCAGATATGAAGCTGGTATTGTTTTCTTAGCGCAAAGCTATGCCATGAGCTACCCGCACTCTGTCCATCAAAGGGAATTGAACTGACCTTCTGGGGGGAGGTTACACCGGGCAGGTGTATTTATATAGATAAAAATTAATACAGTTGAATGACCGCGCCATATCAAAGTTTGTGAACAGTTTAATTAAAATTATGAATTGGGTAGTTAGAGCAAATCGTTCATTAGAGACCGGAAATGATGTAATGATATCAAAACAATGTATTTTTGCATACTTTTGTGGGAAAACATCTCTTGAACAGTTAGTTCTTGATACTTGGAAGCTGTTTAATTTCTTTTTCAATACTAATATAGAATAACGAAGACAAGACAAATTTCTGAAAAATGTATTTTTATTGTTCATTTTGAAATAGTTGTAATTTAAAATCCGGCTACTTCCGACACTTTATAATTAATCTCTACAGGATTTTTCATATTATCAAAAAGTAAAAAAAAATTGTAAGTTCTTTTAAGGTAAGTTGTTGCCTATATCTAAAATAGTCAGTATTCTGTGAAAAAACGTCGAAGACAAGGATGTTGAAATTATGTCACGTAGTGTGTATTTTACGGGGGGGGGGGAGTTCCAAGAAGTCTTGAACCATAGGCACTTCAATGAATTTTACAAAATACTTTCCACATACTATACTTGTAATTCTAAACAAATTTGGAGACGGTATTTCCATTCTATTTGAACACTGTAAAGCATACTCGTGTCATTGTCAATGGTCTACAGTTTCAGTCTATTTAAACTTAGCTAGAAACTTCCCAACAACACTGTGAATGATGTCTCTCTCTCTCTAGATAGTGTGCATTAAATTCCACTGGAATCAACCTCCTCCGCCACATAGCAGGATTAACTCAACCTTCTCATGCTTTGACAGCGCCTCAATCACGCATCTGAAATTAAGAAAAGCTGCAAATCACCTATGGTTCCAGACCGTTGGACACCCTGTAGACTCCCGAAACGAGTTTTTTTCAAATTTCTTACAATAAAAACTCCCTGACTGCGCTGCGAATCTACATTTGATTACTGTGTAGGTATTTGGCCTCAACCAGTTGTAAGCCTAATAGTTTGCGTGCTCTAACTTCGAATTTAAAGTTTCATGGTTCGGGACCCCTTTGTTGGAAAAACGCGTTTCGCACTTAGGAGCCGTGGGTACGCTATAATAGTGGCGATCACATTCCATTATTCGATCTAACAATAGTAGTCAAAGAGTTGTGGGTTGGTGCTGTTAACTGGCTGCTTCCCCTCTAGTCTGTCTGCTTACAGTTAGGGATGGCTATACGTAGATAGATAGCTCCTTTGTAGCTTTACGCGAAATTCTGAAATAAATTCAACCACGTGCACTTTTTAGTGATAATATTTGAACATTGTCATGTACTAAATGCTAAAAGACAGTACTGAGATAATGTAATTCATTTAGATATGTCTGTTGTTTTTTGTGGACTTTTTTTTTCGTAATCTTGGGGACTACTGACAAGATAATTTGGTTCCAAAGTAAGGATACGGAAGGAGTTAGTAAGTGCATTTCACTGAAACCTGAGACTGTTTAATTACAAAACTGTAAGTAAGAAATCCCTTTTCTGATTGACATTGTTTAATAATACTCTTACCGTCAGAACTTCATATCCAATTTCAAGTGCACTTAGAAAATGCTTATTTTAAGATAGTCTTTGTTTACACAGTGGAATAACCTAGACTCTTCTAGACGATAAACCAACAGAGAAGACCACTTAATGGTTTTGGGGGGGATCTTCTACTGAAATCTGATATTGTGTTAAGTACTTTAGGGTATATACTTTGTTACATGATTCTTAAAAAGCGGACTTGGATATAATATCTATTTTTATTTACTTACTTTTTGTTCTAAAGAACTCGGTGCAATACAATTTCCTTGATAAATTTAACCAATGTTCACTGAAAATCTAAGAAATGAAGCATGAACCGGCTCCATCTGTTGAGCATATTGGAAAACAGTTATTACTGTTTTAAAATTCGTTGTTTTCATGCTTTCTGTTTGAATACAAGTAGAGTAAAACTAAATGTTGTGCTGGTCTGTTCCGGTATTGAAGATAGAAGTACTTAATTTTTTCTTGCTTTTTTGGGGGGCTCGTGTTTGTCCAGATTTCAAACAAATCTAAATTGCCCTATACGATTGTCAATATTGTTGATCTAATAGTATACATCAGCTTATTTTTCAATGAATATGATTTACTAATTTGTATTTATGCAGCGTGTTTGAAAAAACAACAACAAAAAAAGACTGTTTTGTTGCAATATTACTGAACGGAATGAAAATGTGCATTTTCGATACTATATAAATATCTTAAGTTTAAAAACTAGCTAAAGAGAAGTTAGTTAATAGGTGAGAATTTATTGTCTTGCCCCCCACTGGCACAGCAGTATGTCTGCGGACTTGCAACGCAAGAAACCGGGTTTCAATACCCGTAGTGTGCAGAACACAGATAGCCCATTGTGTAGCTTTGTGCTTAATTACAAACAAAACAAATTTATTGTCTATATCAGTGTTGGGCAACCGTCGGCTGCATGCAGCCCTCTAGGAGTTGACCTGTGTCCCCTCCTTCCTGAATCCTAAAAAAAAGTAAGGTATCACAACAACACAAGTGATTTGCAAGAATTAATGTTATCTGTACGCTATGACCGCAAGATAAGCCCAGGACCATTAATGTTAGAAAATTAAAATGTAAACTGTGATTATTTATTTTTGTTTACCTTACTTTTCAACATCGTCTGTGGATAGTTATTACAACTTTAATATGTGTCATGTATCACTTGTAGCCAGCGGATTAGTTCGGATTGCCCACACGTGCTATAAGTTGTAAGTTAGACTGTGTCAACAAGTATAAACCATTTTTGCACAAGTGGAATAAATATTGAATCATGTGTGTAATTATACTTGTTGAGGCAGCATAATTATATTTGTTTATGAATTAAATTTGATTTATTTAGATTTTTTTACAATGTGAATAATCTTTAAATTAAACGTTTCATGTTTTGTGTATTATATAGATATAATAAAACCTGTGGATTAATATATGTATGTATGTATGTATGTATGTTAAATAACTTTTTAATACATCAATGTAGTGTTTAATCAAATATTATAATAATTACTCTTAGGAAAATAATGAAACTAAACCCGAAACCACAAACCAAGCAGGTGAAATTGAGGAGGGAAAGGAAAAGAAGGAAGAGCAGGCTGATAAAACAACAGAAGAAAAATCTGTAGATGATAAGCCTAATGAAGTAGCTTCCATTGAGCAGAAAAGTGAAGAGAAAGAAGAAGACAACACTTTAGACGAATCGCAGAAAAAACATGAAACCCAAGAACAAGCAGATGGAGATCAGAAATGTGTACAAGAGCCTACAGAAGCAGTCCAATCAGTTACGACTGAGAATACAGACGAAGGGATAGAAGAAAAAAGTGGAGGCGACAGCAATGCCCAAGTGCCTTCTCCTGAGGCAGCCTCTAGTGAGGCCGTTACACCTCCCGTAACTAATTCACCAGAAAAAGTTACGGACGCAACTGAATATAGTGAAATCCAAAGTGCTGAAGGGATCAATGATGGGACTCTTGCGGAAGAGAGTGAGAAAAAACTCGCCGAAGACCAGGTAATTACCACACATTTTGTCTCCTATAACGATCTGTAGAAGATCTGAAGAGTGAGTAAAAGCAATACTTATTGTGCAGCTTGTAGATTGAGATTAATGAAACTTAAAAGTATACTTGTAGGAAATGGTGACACCACTGTATAAACCACGTGTAAACTTTTACTTTTGTGGTTGAAAGAAACGCGAGTACTTGTATTAGAATTGACTAAAATATGAAATTCCTAAAGAGTAAAATGAAAGTTGAAAGCGCAAATGTACAACACATTGCTGACTTGTTTGCTCTCTTGGGAATTAAGTTGGCTAGTATAAAAAATACCGGCGTTCCGTTGCGGGGTTAAAAAGTCCTCATGATTCACAGATGCCCCAAAGTACCAAACAAGTTATTTCCTTCTTTATACCCGACTACTTCTGTAGCTACATTAAGGTTGGTCCATACCCGAAGAAAACAAAAGTTAGGACACCCCCCTAGGTTACTCAAGAACGCATTTCAAGTTTCGTCCAGCTAGATTGTGAATGAGAGTATGAACACAATTTCAAACAAGGTGCCTCCTGAATCCAAAGGGGAAAGAGAAAAAACACACAAACCGATGCCAAATTTGGGTTCGCGACCCTGAAAACCTACTCTTAGATCTATATCATGCCTACGTGATCTTCCGGTGGGCGTTCTAGCCTCCCTGATATCCCCTACAGGGGGCTATGCTATATAGATAAGGGCAACCCATCTGTCCACCCTGAACCTGCCTGCCAAAATTGGCCCTGCTAGCTCTAGTATTATGGGAGGAATTGTCTGAACATACATACATACATACATACAAAGCTATAAGCTGAATTAATATAGAATGTATCTTGTAGTTTGATACAAAGTATGTCCTAAAATATAAAATAGTTAATTACAGTGCATTGAAAATCAAGAAGTTATCAGCAGTTGTTGTCAGACGCTCTCTACTTTTTTTTTTTTTTTTTTTTGTTAACATGGTAGATGGACATATATGAGGCTACTGAATCTGGTCAAAAATGTATTTGCTCTATACCACCTATTTGAGACATTAAATACATCAAAACATCAGCCAGTTCTAGTTTTGAAACAACATGTAAACTGATAAATAGTGAAAGATTAAAATGAACTTGTTACAGACCATGTTGTATCGTTGGACTTCTCTCTTTTCAGGTCTCTTGGTAGGTCAGCGATAAGTTTAAGGACTTCTAACGCTTAAATCTGTGTTTCAATTCTACGCGGTGGACAAAACTCAGATAGCCCATCGCTTCGCTTTAAGCTAAGAAACAAACAAACATAAACAAATCTCTGGACCTGATATAGCCTGGTGGTTAAGGCGTTCGAAACCAGTCAGTGGACATGCTCACCCATTTCAACCGTCAAACCGTTGGCGGTCAATCCCACTATTCGTTGGTAAAGGGTGTTCCGAGAGTTGGCGGTGAATGGTGTTGACTAGCTGCCTTCCCTCTAGTCTATCAATTAAAAACTAAAGACGGCTAGCACAGAGTAGATTTACGCGAAGTTCAATAAAACAAACAAACAAATCCCCTTTCAGGCGTGTATTGTTTAAGGATATAAAAAATGAACGTTAAAATATAAAGTAAACTGAATAAAGGGCATATAATTCTACTATGAATAAAAAAAAACATTTAAAGCATTTTTATGGCTGAAGTTTGGTTTGAATTTCATGTAAAGATTCACGAGGGTTATCTGCGCTAGTCGTCCCTAATTTAGCAGTAAAAGACTAGAGGGAAGGCATCTAGTCATCACCACCCACCGTCATCGTACCCTCGGATTGCGAGTCAAGCGCCACTTATGACTGAATTACTGATGTACTTGGTGCAATTAAACACTGGTCAAATTGGGTGAAAGGTCATGTAAAACGACACATATGCATAATATCTGAACAATTGGTTTATTGTATTTTTCACATTTATTTCTCATATATACTTTTCTAAAGGATTTCTTAAGTTTTTTCATTGTGAAACAAACAAGCTAACGTTTAGAGAATATTACTAGACGTTTTTCGACCAACAAAAATAATGAGTGAAAAAGCAACTTTTTTATTTCCTCGTACCGATATTTTAACAAGTAATACCTTAATTTACTAACATACCAAATGATTTACCGCTTTTGACCCTAAAGAAAAGGCATGTCCACACCCCTACACCTGTTGAAAGCGCAGGTCCTTTTAGTTTTCTTAATGTGACTTACCTTATGTATGATATACTTAAAGTGAATAGCAATACCAATATTAGCTAAAAAAAACGAACAGTATAAAGACACACTTGGCTTAGGCCTAAACTATATCCTTCATTTCTTTAACCACTTGTTGTTTGCCGTGTAAGCTATTTCTAATCGGTGATGATATGGGATTTCATAACCTAACAAATAACATAATTAAGGAAATGTAAACATTGTGTTTTGAACGACTGAATCTAGAATATGTGTTCAGTATGGACATTACTTGTATACTCAACAAAGTTTGTATGTTTTTTGTTGTTTTTGTTAGAGTTCCGCAACAGCTTCGAGCGAAACCATGTATCCAGCAACTTTCATTTGGGATGGAGAAGGAAAAGAAGTGGGAGTTTCTGGAAGTTTCAATAACTGGGGAGATCCTTGGAGTCTTTCAGAAAGGTTAAACATTTCATCTTACATTAAAATCTTATTAGTTAAATTGAATTATTCAACATGTCGTCGAGCTAAAACTAATTATCTTTCATTTTTATAATAGGGATTTAATATTTCTCCAAATGAATTCAAAAATTTATTGGTGTAAACCAAGGTACCTGTAAAACACTGGCCAATTTGCTTATTGTACCATTTAACAAAAAATATTTTCCACTTATCAACAAGGTTTCGAAAGAGGATCCAATTAATAACGGAAAAACTAGACGCATATAAAACCCTAGTCATAATTTTGTTCATTAAATGTAAAAAAAGAATCTGTCTCCTATACTAACTTTGTAAACTACCTTTAAGGAATTGCAATTAAAAAAACTGAAAGATGAAATATTCGCCTGATTTTTAGATGCGTTATATTCATCCACAATCTCTCTTTGTTGCTTCATTTAGAAGTAGTTCAAGCAGTTGATGTTTAAGATCTTGAACATTTGATATTGAAACAAATGCTCTAAAAAGAACAACTTCCAAACAATTATTTAAAAAGCATTCTATCATTATGTAATGAATGCTTTTGCGCACATAGTTTAAAATCTTCCCTGAAATATAATTCAGACTTTCAGGATAATTTGCTTTTGTATTTGCTAGAACGGAATATACGTCAAAACCAGACAAATTGCTTACGCTTCACTACTATATGAGGCCTACTTTATTTATTTGATTCGCTCTTTCAAGCTCACTGATGAGCTGTGATTGCAGCGAAAGTAGCCTGCTGCAGTGGAAGTATTGAATCAAAGAATAGATTAGGCCTCTACTTCATTTTTTTTTTCCATTAAATTCACGTTGACTCAATAGATGGATACGTTGTTGTTTAGCTTTTGAAATGTTTGTTTGAGGCATGTAACAGCAAGTAATGAAAACAATATAAAATTACGTTAAAATTCTATTTTGAATTCCTGTATAAAATTACAATGTTCTGCTTCCCTGGTATAAACAAACTTAATAATTAATAATTCGAAATGTACCAGAAATAATTTGGATTTCATATATTTTAATAACGTGATATATTTCACTATTTTATCTCACAATCACGTAACTTTAGAAATAATTAAAATATTTTAATCAAGAGAACAAAATATATATTGTGACTGATTTTGTCTCTTATTTTTTTCTACTTTTCAGTGATGGCAAATTTTCACTCACAAAGTCACTAACAGCTGGTCAGTACCACTTCAAGTTTTATGTTGATGGAAATCAAACAGTCAATAGTAATCAGGTAGTTACCTTTTACACAATAGATTATCAATATTTAAGTTTAAAATTAAAATAGAGTTCATAAGTCATTTTTCTATAAGCTTCTAATAAATTTTAAATTATTATTTTCATACAGTTATAGCAATGCCATTTAACAAAATCTGCAGATTTTCAAGGCTTATCATATCTGCTAATTTTTCTGAAATTGTTTCAGCTATGTTTGTATTAAAATAATTTACAAGATCTACCTCATTGAAACTCCACAACAAAATATTGACAGTCTAGAAAACTAAATATCTTGTTTGTTTGTTTGTTAACCACAAAGCTGAACAATGGGCTATTTGTGCTATGTCCATCACGGGTATTGAAACCAGATTTTTAGCATTATAACCCTTTAGACTTACCACTAAACCATTGGAGGCAAAATTAAAGATAATCTTATTTCTAATTGTTTTTCAAATAATATTTCGTAGAAAGAAGTGAGAACTCTCACCACACTATCGGTAACCACTCTGTTCGAAGGGGACATGACGTGTGATGAAAATAGTTATCAGCCTGTCTGGGTTAGGTCCGGTTTTTGTAGACTTATTGTTAAACTACTAGATACTGAGTTATCTATCGCCCAGTAATTTTTCTTGCTTAACTATAATTTAGTTTCTTGTTTTACACCAGCCTATCTCGGGCTTGGTTTCAACACGCAAAGTAAACCGAATCAGCAACTTCTTCGTATGAGTACGAGTATGTTATACGAGGTATAGAATCGTTTCAACACGCAAAGTAAACCGAATCAGCAACTTCTTCGTATAAGTATTGTTGCATCAGCGAGGTCACGTGACTCGTTCTCTCGAACCTTCGGAAATTGTCGGGAGATTACTAGATATAGGGTAGTCTTTTATATATATATATATAAGAGGGTGACAAAGTGCCGGGACAATGTATGTGTGTAGACAGTGAGTAATTGATCTGCAGTCAGCGAGTATTATTGAAGTTGAGCACGTTCGTTGTTATAGCGTTTGTTTCAGCGCGATTGTGGAAATTAAGTGTATCGTAAAGTTATATTCGGAAAGAATAAACCAGTTTTATTAAGTAAGGACTTGTGTCGCTAAAGTTTCGTCGGAACGAATTTACGGGAAATCAATTAACAAACGGAGACGTAACAGTATGTTATACGAGGTATAGAATCGTTTCAACACACAAAGTAAACCGAATCAGCAACTTCTTCGTATGAGTATGTTATACGAGGTATAGAATAGTATAAACATAGAACAATTAACTGTTCTTAATGCCAATTTTTGGTTTTTTAGTTATATCATTGTCAAGCGTGATGTAGATAAAAGTGAAACAAAAATTTCTGTTGGTTAGACGTTTTTATTGCTGTCATCAGGTTAATCGCAAACAAGGAAAAAAAAAGCGAACCACCTGTTGTTGTTACTAGTGCTGAACGTTTAAGCTGTGGATATCGTTTTGGTTTGTTATTTAGTTGCTATGCTTGGAGTAAATGGAAGCAAGGTATATTAACAACCATTTGGTTTTATATTATTGCAGATTGAAGTTAAACATGATCAATTTTTTAGTTTGCTATTTAGTTACTATGCTTGGAGCCCCCAATGGCACAGCGGTATGTCTATGGACTTGCAATGCTAGAAACTGGGTTTCGATACCCGTGGTGGGAAGAGCATAGATAGCCCTTGTGTAGCTTTGTGCTTAACTAAAAACAAACAAACTATGCTTGGAGTAAATGGGAGTAAGGTATACGAATAACCATTTGGTTTTATATTATTGTTATGGTTGATTCAGATTGAAGTTAAATATTAGCAACCTTTTTGATTTCAAATTAATATCGCAGGCCTGCGA